ATGAGTCTCTCTCATATATTAGTTTAACCTTTTAAGTTGCATTACTGAAATATATGAACTTTTGCACAATATTCTAATTTTCTGAGATTGTGGATTTGAAGTTTTCATGATCTGTAAGCCATAATCATCACAATTATGATAAATCACGCCTTGAACTATCTTGCTTTGCATTTAATGAGTCTCTCTCATATATTAGTTTAACCTTTTAAGTTGCATTACTGAAATATATGAACTTTTGCACAATATTCTAATTTTCTGAGATTGTGGATTTGGGGTTTCATGAGCTGTAAGCCATAATCATCACAATTATGATAAATCACGCCTTGAACTATCTTGCTTTGCATTTAATGAGTCTATCTCATATATTAGTTTCACCCTTTAAGTTGCATTACTGAAATAAATGAAGTTTTGCACGATATTCTAATTTTTTGAGTTTCATATGTCTTTTTCATGTAAAAAAGCAGTAAATAAAAAAACTGAAATTACTGAAATTTGTCAAATATTTCATTCTAAATCATAATTAGCCCAATATCTATTCAACAGCAAAATGTTCCAGTATTAATTCGATTTACTACTATGTTTTTTACTTTACATGCAATAGAATCTGTTTACTAATTATGAGACACCAAAATAACAACAACTTGAAGGAATACAGAGCTCTGAAGCTATGTCACTGCTTTGAATTAATTGTAATAGTGAGGGTTCCTTGGTGCAGCTGTGACACACAGCGAAGATCTTTTTCCTGGGACAGCAGGAGCCAGACCCATCGTAGCTCTATACTTTGGATCAGATTAAGCTAGAAACATGCCAGACAGGATCCCAGAAGCTCCAAACTAAAAAGAATGTCTCTCTCCAAATAGGGTTGAATTAGCCTCCCTCATCCATCCAAAAAATAGTTGAAATAATTGAAATTTGGCAAATTTTGTAAAATATTTTTGACATAATCATCAGAAAAAGGATATATATAAAATGACATAAAACATTTTCTGTGATGTTTCGTCTACAGTGGGCTATTTTCAAGGCAGCTACAGCTCTAAATATATCCCATCATTTCCAATGAAAGCATTATATTAGAATCTTTGTCATTTGTTGGATGCACTGAGAAATCTGATAAGGAAGTATTTCTTCATATATATATTTATTGTTTTTACATTTAAAACAGTGCAGCACTGCGAAGTCAAAGTGCCCATACAATCACATTATATACAAATAATCTCATCCAGTAACTGTTAGCCTACTTAATACATTATCTATTCTTCTATCCAATCACATTATTTACAATGTGTTCCAGTCTTATCACCTTGTCTTATACCAATAATAGAATCTGTTCCAGACTTCAAAATATTCCGATTCCCCTTTATTTTTTAATTCAAGGGTGAGCCTATCTGCTTCGCACAGGCCAAAAGTATATCTAACTCTGGTGGTGTATTTTCTTTTTTCCAATACTGTGCATAAGTTATATATGCCACAGTTAGTACATGTATAATTAGATAAAGTGCATACCAGTATTCCGGTATTATGCCTAGGAGAAAAATTTCTGGTTTGAACAAAATTTGATCTCCCACCATTTGTTCCAACCAGATTATATCATTTTCCAGTATGTTTTTGCCTCATTGCATGTCCACCACATATGATAAAAAGTGCCTGGTGTTTTTTTGCACTTCCAACAATTTGGGGCCAAATTTTTAAATATTTTGGAGAATCGTGCTGGGGGAAGATGCCCTCTGTAGAACATCTTATACAGATTTTCTTTATAAGACATGGCCAATGTTAGTTTCCAGTTAAGTATCCAAAGTTTTTCCCATTTAGCCAAATCCACATTATAACCAAAAACTTTTGCCTGGCAACCATGTTCTTTGATAAGGCAGTATTTCTTAAAGCATGACCCAGATCATGCTTTCGGAAATAGATTGTCAGTAAATAATTAAAGTTTAGTAAAGTCAGAATACATCTAGAGAAGAATGGGAAAAATGAAAGAGCAGTCTATCTATGATGTTTTTTATATATAATACTTTTATTGTTATTTTAATTATTATTTCATTAAAATATCAAAAAAATATAAAGACTGTGAGCTCTAGTCCTTCCTTAGGCAGAAAACTAGCTGGTGACTTTGGAACAGATACTCCCTTTTAATCCTACAAAGAAATAACTGGCAAGACACTTCTAAAAACCCTACTAAGAATATTGCAGAGGGCAGCTGCCAGGAGTAAAATTAATTGAAATCAAATTTTTAACTGTGCCTGACATACTATTTTACATTATAGTTTCTATACTTTAACCAATAAATATGTAGACATTTTAATATATTGCTACTACATATCTTGTACAGTCATAGTTGCACCAACAAATTTGGTTCCACTACAAAACCGCAAAGCCCTTATCCGCACCGACATAAGTGCGGAGGCAAATCCACGACGTCCGAAGCACTAAGAAAAAAACGACCCTACCACGATGACATAACCGCGGAGGGCAAATCCGCGCCCTAAACCTAAGCCTAAACCTAGGGACTCGCAAGCGGGGCGGCGACGCGCGGCGGAGGCAGGCCGCCCTCTTCTTCCTCAACATCTCCTTGGACGGGCGGCCGCCGTTGCCGGGCAAGCCTGCTTCGCCGGCCCCAGGAGAGCCTTAGCCACCGCCGCTGCTGCATCCTCTGCCACCGCTGGCGCCTCCCTCGGAGGAAGAGGCAAGGCGGGTAGCGCCTGCTGCTGCCGGCCCCACTCGGGCCCCGCCTGCTGCTGCCGGCCCCACTCGGGCCCCCCGCAGGCTTCCTGCTGCCCCCCGCAGCTGAGCTGGACCCTTCCCGCGGGCTGCTGCTGCTGGGCAGCCTGCTTTGCCCCGTGCCCACTGCTGCTATCAGCCCAGCTGCCCTTACCTTAACACGTACTGAAAAACACGACCCACGCCAACATAAGCACCCTTCTGTCGCCGCGCTGTTGTCGCGGCGGTGATGACGTGCGGTGATGACGTCGCGGCTTTAGCGACGCGGTTTAATCACCGCTATTTTGACGAGCACGTTTTGTCGTGCCACGACAAATTTATTCCTCATATCACATGTTGGAAATTAGAGGGAACATTTATTGTAGTCTTATATTAATGACAGATCAGGTAAACAGAGCAGATAAAATTCTTAAATAAAAACTGACCAGTAATCAGAGGGATTTATATAATAGAATGCTGCAATTTGGCACTACAGGGACAGGAAGTCAACTGATGGCTAGCTTTCTTTCCTTTCAGTTTTCAGTTTAATTATGGAAGACAAGGAAACAAAAATGGTGGCCTTCCAGCATGTTCTGCTCTTCACTATCAGGCCAGTTGCTTTTAAAATGTATATTGCCCAGGCTTTATTCAGAACTAGTTGGCCATTGCAGATTCCTGGTTAACAGAAAAATGAAAAATTCATCTCTCCCAGCTCCATCTGACAAGTTACTACAAATCTGTTTGGTTGTTAAGGTCTCACTATAAGAGTTCTCACTTTCTATCGTGTAGAAAAAGAAATATTGTGTTGTTATGAAGTAATGCAATACACACAATGAGAAACTGAATTTGGTTCCACTTCCTCAGTGTATCACTTTCACCAAGCTTTTAACTGTTAGCTCATTTTAGAATTAATTTTAGTCATGTTTCTACCTATTTATATTTTAGTTTTATTTTAATTTATTATATTTTATATGTAATATTACATAGTTTGTAGGCAATATATTATATGTAATGTATTATATTATTTCAATACAGTGTACTTATGCAGTGTTGACTAAAGATTAACAGTATAGATACTCTATTATAAATTTTAAAAATACAGGTAGTCCTTGACTTACATAATTGGAACCTAAAACTTAGTTGCTTTTATTTTTATATACATTTATTAATTAAATTTGTTTGCAGCCATTTTCCTGCAAGGCAACTCACTGAGCAAAATGACTGTCAAGCCATATGACTGAATCACTCAATAATCGAAATCCTAGCATTCCTGGTTGCAATCATTAAGTGATCTTCCTGGATGGAAGGAAAGAACTATTTGCCACATAGTTTTTACTCTGCAGAACTGAAATCTTGCTAGGGTGCAGTCCTTTTGTTATCAAATGTTCTTGGAGCCCACCAAAGGATTTGAGCTCCCCTTTGCCTTCAACATTTCCTGTCAGCTTCTGACTTTCAGGGAAAGACTGGCAGAGAAGGTTGCATATTGCAATTGAAAGGCATGGAGATTTGGCAAAACTAGTTGTAAATGCAAGCTAGTTGCCAAACACCAAAATGAAGTAACCTGACTGGGGGTGACAGGGCAGACTACAAAACACCTTTTCTAAGGCTGTTTAGCAACTTTGAACCATTATTAAATAACTAGTAATACAATCAAGGACTATCTGGAGAAAAAAGAAAAAGTACTATATCAATATTAACTATAATTTAAAGTGTTATTTTTAATACATGTTTAACTGTTTATATCCAAAACCAAATACCACATTAAGAAGCATCTGCAAAGTATAACAAAATACTTTATGTTTTATTAATTTAGTAGATATTTTTATCCCACCTTTATTACTTTTATAAGTAACTAAAAGCAACAGACTCACATAAAACTGTTTCTCCTCCTATTTTCTCCACATCAACCCACTGAGTTAGATTGGGCTGAGAGTAGTGTTACTCAGCCAGCTTTCCTGTACAAAATGAGACTAAATTCATAGTCTCCTGGTTAGCACTTTATCTACTACACCAAACTTCCTTAAAATGAACTTAATTCCGAAGTCTTCACCGTATTGTTACATACTATTGTTTGTGCATCTTGAAAAAAGAAACTAGCAAAGCAAAGTAAAACAGGCAACAATAAAAAAGTAAAAGAAAAAGAAACTATTTGGCTTCTAACTTTCTCCTTTTTGTGCTTCAGCTAATTTACAATATTTATAGACCCCCTTGGATCCCAAATTGTAAATGTTTAATTTGCCCTGCTATATATTTCATGTATTTGAACCATTCTTGTTTAAATGTGGTGAAACATCTGTTGTGAATATATATACTGTCAGTTTTACCATTCCTACATATTCTCCAAGTTCCCAATCCAATAAAACAATGTCAGAATTGTATCTTTCTTCCAATGCTGGGCTAAATTTATTCCCACTGTCGCAAACATGTGTCTCAGTAAATTATGATATTTCTAGTTGATTTTTTATTAGACTGTACCTAGTAAGAAAATTTGTGGTTTGATTTCAATTTTAATTTCTAAAACTTTTCAACGTTGTACTATGTACATCTTTCCAGTAGTTTGAAGTTTTTTTTACATGTCCCACATATGGTAAAATGTTTCCTGGCATTTCTAATATTTATTACTGGATATGTATTTATCTATAAAATTATAGATCATGTGTAAAACATTTTGTACCAATTTTCTTTCAAGTTGTACCCTGGAGTATATTTTTAAATTTTTGTTTCTTGTTTAAAATATTCATTGGAGAAAAAGATTAATATTGATCATATCAACCAAATTCAGTAGAAAGATGTGGCAAAGTGTAGACCAACCTCCTTGTGGTGCACCCTGGGAAATAATACTGTCACAGCTAAATAGTCTACACATTCTGGCTGCTGAATTTCACAAAGATCTCCCAGCAAGAAGAAGCAACACAAATATAAAAACAATAGGTCTTTTCAGATGAAATAATGCTGCATTCTGTCATGCCATATGAAACAAGTAAAAAGTAAAAAGATAGCAAAATGGAGATATAATTCAAGAGTGTTTATATACTTAAATCAATTTAATCTTTCTTTGATCTTTAAAAAATAGTAAATAAATTCACAAAAAATAGAAAAAAATACACAAATCCTATGTGAAGAGTCTAAACTATGTTTAATTCATCAAACAATCAAAGAAAAATAAGCAATTTACCTAATTCTAAAATGAAGGAGTTTTGGGTCAATGATAAAGGACATGGGACACATACTGTTAATTTCGTAAGTGTTGGTAATCTGCTTTCAATTTCAATCTGTTGGATCAAAATATTAGAAAGATATTTACAGACAATAGTAAAATATTACTTAAATAAATTGTAATTATAAATATAAAACTAATATTTAGAACTTCAAAAATATTATTTCATCACTTCAATAAATCAGTAGCTAGAACTTCCACAGGGAATAATATACAAGCAATATTCATACAGAATATTGCAGAGAGAGAGTGTGTGTGTGAGAGAGATTGTGAGTGAGATGAACATACACATATAAAAATTCCCTTATCACCCTTATAATCTGCATCTTCCCAATCTCTGCTTGTCTACCGGAAGCTTGGAATTTGAGGATTTTGTGCAACACACTCTTCTGGACAGAGCACACTGATATCATTCCTGGAGTTTTTTGGAGCCACTCTCCCAGCTTAGGTATCATGGTCCTGAGTGCCCCTATCACTACTGTAAACAGGGTTTTTTTTTTTTACATCTTCTCTAGTTTCTCTTTCAGGTTGTAGTACTTCTCCAGTTTCTCATAATCCTTCTTACTGATGTTGCTATTAATTGGCACCATTACATCTATCATTTAATTTTCTTTCCCATTCCGTGTGAATGACGTGTGTGTGTGTATGTGTGTGTGTGTGTGTGTGTGTGTGTACACGTATATATGTACAAACATACAGTGCATTCAGAAAGCATTCAGAGTCCCTTCACTTTTGACAATTTTGCTATGCTGCAGCCTGATTCTAGTTGTTTTTCTACAAGATTCTACAAATTCTTTTTTCTCATTAATCTATACTTAGTATCCCATAATAACAAAGTAAAAACAGAATTTTAGAAATGTCTGAAAATTTATTAAAAAGAAAAACTGAAATACATTGACATGTATTCACACCCTTTGCAACACTTGAAAGTGTTCAGGTGCTTTCCATTTCTCTTGATAATTTCTGACATGTTTCTATACTTTGATAGAAGTTGACCTGTGGCAAATTAAATTGATTGGACATAATTTGGAAAGGCAACTCTTTCCAACTGACAAGTCGAAACTGACAATGAGTATTGTAGCAGAGCAAAAGTCATGAGGTCAAAGGAACTGCCTGCAGAGCTCAGAGGCAGGATTATTACAAGGCACAGATCTGGGAAAGGTAAAGCTTATGCTGCACTAAGAATAAAGTGGTCTCCATAATTCTCAAATGGAAGAAGTTTGGCACAACCAGATCTCTTCCAAGAGCTGGCCGCTCAGTCAAACTGAGCATTCGGGGAAGAAGGGCCATAGTAAGAGAGGTGACCAAGAACCTAATTGCCACCTTGACTGAGCTCCAAAGATCCTGCGTGGACATGGGACAGAGTTCCAGAAGAAAAACCATCACTGTAGCTCTGTACTGATCTAGCATATATGGCAGAATGGTTTGACGGAAACCTGTCCTCAGTCTCTGATCTGATGAAACCAACATTGAACTATTTGGCTCAATTCTAAATGTTATTTCTGGAGGAAACCAAGCACTGGTCATCACCTGCCCAATATCATTACAACAGTGAAGTATGGTGGTGGCATCATCATGCTGTAGGGACGTTTTTCAGCAGTAGGAAAGGAGATACTGATCCGTGTTGAGAGAAAGCTGAATGGACTACAGAGATTTCAATGAAATGACCTCAGACTGGGCCAAAGGTTTACTTTTCAACATGACAATGATCCTAAGCACACAGCGAAGACCACACAGGAGTTGCTTAGGAACAACTCTATGAATGTCCTAGAGTGGCCCAGCCACAGCCCTTGAACATCTCTGAAGGGATCTAAAAATGGCTGTTCACAGATGGTCACCATACAACCTGACTGAGTTTAAGATGATTTGCAAGGAAGAATGGCAGAAAATCCTGCAATCCAGTTGTGCAAAGTTTATTAAGTCATACCCCAAAAGACTCAAGGCAGTAATTGCTACCAAAGATGCTTCAACAAACTACCGAGTGAAAGGCCTCAATACTTATGCAAATGTGATATTCATTTTTTTTCTTTTAAATAAATATATAGACATTTCTAAAATTCTGTTTTCACTTTATCATTATGGAGTACTGAGTGTAGATTAATGAGAAAAAAACATACACACACATAGATAGACACAGAGATGTATATATTTTAGCATAGGTTTACGTTCTATCTAATAAGTTATTTATTCAAATCCAGCATTTTGAAATCAGAATTCTCTAATCACTTTGCCAAGCACCCAAATTACAATCACATGGCTATGGGACTGGTCATACAATGTTTTGCATTGGGAGGTGGGATCTTTGGGAAAGATCCCAGCTCCATGCCTCGGTACACTTCTTCTTAATCAAGTCAGTCAGTAAATCAAAGCAGGATAAGTTTCAAAGTTTAGGACACTATTGGACAAAATACCAAGCTTACTTCTTAAAAACTCTCATCATTATACATTTCCTTTCTTACTACTTTGGGGCCAAATCCACATCACTGTGTAGTAAATACAGGTAGTCACCATACAGGTATCACCATTCATTTAATGACAGAACAGATTTATAACAATCTTGGGAAGTTGCTTTACAGCCCTTAAATTGTTTTGGTCTCGCAAAACATTGTATGACCAGTCCCACAGTCATGTGATTGTAATCTGGGTGCTTGGCAATCTGATCATACTAATGACTAGTTGCCAAGCATCCCACAATTACATGATCATCTTTTCCAATCTTCTCTGCTGGCTTTTCCTGAAAGTCAATAGGGAAGACTGCAAACTTGTTAGTGCATAAGAATTTGGAATAGCTATGGCAACAAGTCAGCCAATGGGAACTGTTTGGTGTCTGAGGCACAGGATTTGTTGTATGAACCATGTGAGACGGCTTGGAGCCTGGGCGTGACTTAGCTTAACTGTTCTGTGCTGTGAGAGTTCATTTGGTCTTTGCTTGAGTAATTTTGCTGCTTCTCCTCAACTTTATCATGTTGTAAGAACTGCATGAGTATTGTATAAATGAATCATGTTTTATATTATTGTATATAAAGAAGTTTTTTCTGTATAAAGATATTCAGCTGAACAAAACTGAAGGTCTGTTACACAACCCTAATGCACCCTAAGCATTATACTGGGGACCTGGTCTGCTTAACAACCTAAAAAAAATCACTTAACAACCATAACCAGGAGAAGATGGTTCTGCATGACCAGCGGACAAGCTCACATGCATGCATGCAACTCCATTTACAAGAACGGCAGGCACGCATGCCACTCGCACAAATGGAGCGTGCATGCACAACTGAGGATGCGTGCACACACTCACTCAACACTTCCGTGGCCAGATTCTGAACAGCTCAAGCCCCAGTAGTGGTCACAGTTCGGGGATTGGGGACTCCTGTTCTAAACAACAGTGTTTAAATCTAATGTTTATTTTCCAGAATTAATATAAGCAATTTAAATCACTCAAATCATTCCTGTATATCAATATGCAACAGTATATTTATATTGCATAATTTATGCAATGATTTAGAAAATTTTATTAAACATGCTAATACCTTTATCACCACAGAAGGAATCACCTCTGCTTTAATTTCACTGTCAACAGCTTGCTGTAAACAAAACATGATGAATTAGTCAGAAATGTTTATGATACAGAAAATATTATTCTATTAGATGACTTACATTTAAAATAATGAAACAAAACAAGATAAAGTTAAATAAAACTGTTCAAAACTTAAAAAGCAAAAATATACAAGCAGTGTATTCCTAGATTTATCTCATAGCCAAACCAAAAAATATAATTTATGGGCAATTAAATATTCCAAAATAGTACTTTGTAAATTAACTTTTGAAAAATCATATAAAAAGATAAAAAATAATTAAAATGTATAATTTGATAATACATCTAAAATCTAACTTATTCATTTTGGCATGAGAATTAGGATGAAAGAGACCATGGTTCATTTCAAACACTATTGTATACCCTTCATTAGGAAAATGTATTTATGTTTTGAAGAGTTATCTGAATTGATTAATTATAATTCCACACATTATTTACTATTAGAGTGTTGTTTTTGTGATCAAGGATTCAACATATAAATCCAAGTGCTGACTGAATAGAAAGCAAAAATAAAGCATCTCTAGTCCTGAGTTTGTCTTTTGCAAATTCTACACTGTGCTCAGCATAAACCACGGGTGTCAAACTCAAGGCGCGTAGGCCAGATCTGGCCCATGGGATGCTTAAATCTGACCCATGGGCCAGGCCTGGACATAGCAAAGGACTGACCCATGGTGCCTCTGGGAGCCAAAATGGGGTGTGTGGGACTTTATGTCGCCCCACTGCACCCCATATTTAGCCTAGACAACCTCCAGCAGCATACTACCAGCCAAAATGAGGCACCAGGGGGCTAGGCAGGGCTTTACTGCATCCCATTTTTGGCCTGGACAGCCTCCAGCAGCACTCTGCCGGCCAAAATGGGGTGGAGGAGGGCAGTGTACGCACACACACACACACATGCCCTGTTTTGGCCAGCAATGTATAGCTTTTAGTGAAAACTAGCATTTAGATAGGGCTTCTAAAACAGGGGAGCAGCTTCCACTGAATTAAATTATATTGTATGAATCTTAATTAACAGTTTAATATTGGAAGTCACTTTCTTCTAGTTGGATTGTAGTTGTATTTGAAAAGTTTATATCAAAATAGTACTGGAATAAGCAAACTAGGTCCTAATTATTCTCCCACTGTCAGGCCTGCAGTTATATCCCTTTTAGGATCTTTGGCCTGCCACTCTCTCTCTCTCTCATTTTACTATGATGTTTCTTTAGTGGGATAAGTAGGAGGGGGAATAGTAAGGAGTAGAATTGTAGAATGTGTTGTTGTCAAAATATAACATTCCTTTCTAGAAGCCCAAGGTCACCCTTTGTCTCTGCACCTCTGCACCTGACCGGAACTAGATGGGTGGAAATGCCAGCGTGGCAGAGGAAGATTGGACCATGTGATGAACTTGTGGGTTTGAGGCAAGGTCTTGAACTTTCAACTGGGTGGAAAACCCAGGAAGCTTAAAGATCCAGGTTTTTCCACAGTTGGTACCAACATGTCTCTCTTATTAAATTGGAACTCTGATTTAATTCTGGATGATATTTGGAATGCTGACACCCACATTAGAACATTTATGAACTTTATATCAGAATATTTTAGTTTGGTGCATCTACTGTGGTGCTTAAAATTTTTTGAATTCTACGTTGTTGTTAGTTGTGAAAACATGTCCGATTCATCGCGACCGTAGTTTTAATTGTTATATCTAAATTCAGCATTCAAATGTACATACAGAAACTGAATCCAGATCAGGCAAGACTGTCACACCAAGTGCAAAATCTTCACTCTTTTCAGACTTAGGAAGGATATCTGAAAGATTTAAGGAATTAGCAAATTTAGCTACCGTATTTTTTGGAGTATAAGATGCACCTTTCTCCCTCAAAAAAGTGGCTGAAAATCTGGGTGCGTCTTATACACTGAATACAGCATTTTTTGCCTCCCGAAATCCCGCCCCTTCACCAAAATGGCTGTGCATAGCCTTTCGGAGTCTTGCAGAGTGCTCCTGGGGACTGGGAGGGCAGAAATGAGCAAAAAATGGGCCCGTTTCCCCTCGGAGCACTCTATAAGCTTCCTAAAGGCTATGCATGTCCTTTTTTGACAAAAACCGGACACGATTTTCCAAAATTTGGCAATTTTTTCCTCCTTTTTGCCTCCACCCCCGGAGCAATCTACAAACCTTCTAAAGGCAGAATAGACGGAATACCAGTGGAGCTATAGAAATATAATAAAATAATATTGGAAGAACTAGGAGTGGAGATGTTTAACAAAGTTTTAGGAAAAGCCAAGATACCTGAATCATGGACGGAAGCAATAATATCGCTAATCCCGAAAGAAGAAACCAACCTACAAGAAATTCAAAACTACAGACCAATTTCATTACTAAATTCCGATTATAAAATATTTGCAGCAATTATGGCAGGAAGAGTTAAACAGGTTTTAAATGAATGAATACACCCAGACCAAAACAGATTTTTACCTCACAGACACATTAAAAATAATACGAGAGTCATCCAAGACGTAATGGAATATTATGAGGCGCATCCAGAAAAATAAATGGTACTGGTTTTCCTTGATGCACAAAAAGCATTCAAGAACGTAATTTGGAAATTTATAATAACACTATTAGACAGGATGAAATTCGGAGGAAAATTTACAAAAGTGATAGAGAAACTTTATAACAGTCAGACAGCCAAAGTTCTAATGAACAGAGAACTAACAGAGAAGATTGAAATAAAAAAGGGAGTCAGACAGGGATGCCCCCTCTCTCCTTTGCTGTTTATATTA